AACAGAAGACCCTCAGATTATGTTTCCATGCACGAAGATCATGATAAGGATTCTTATTGTGATTGCCTTTTCAACAGCTGGCAGCTTCCTGGATGAGTTTCCCCAAGAGGGAGGGGAAGGGGCGATGGGTTGGGTGCCAGGGCAAAAATAAGGAAAAATACATGGGGAAATATAGGAATCCCAAGATATTCATATCAAGCATCCCTTCCCACCCCCTGTCCGTCAGAGAAATTGATTAAAATAATAATTTTAATAAAACATGTGTCCAAATTTGTTGTTCATTCGTTCAGTCGTCTCCGACTCTTCGTGACCTCATGGACCAAACCACGCCAGAGCTCCCTGTCGGCCATCACCACCCCCAGCTCCTTCAAGGTCAGTCCAGTCAGATGATAATTTGGGTTACAGGGGCATTGCCATGTGGGGCCATGGAAGAAGCCTTAGGTTCATTCCAGCTTGGTGTCCTTGGCAAAACTATGATTTCCCTTTTACAGAGTCCGGAGGGATCACCTCCGATCACAGTATGGCCATAGGCGGAAATATCCCTTATGATGGAGAATGCCTCTTATTTGGGATTGGAAAGCTTTTACCTTTTATTGGGACTGAATAAGGTGCTAAAAATTCCTATAACTGGGTCCCTCGGTAAAGACAGAAAATGTGACTTATGCCAACATTTAGGAAAGTGAGCAACACATTCATTCTGTAAACTTAACTGAAGCCGATCCTTTCATTTGGCATTTTAGGAAGAGCACAAACTTGGGAACAAGTCCTGCCTATCATGACTTTGTACTGCCCTTTGCTGCCATTTTGGAAACCTGGTGGGTCTACACCTTGAGATAATAATACCCATCATTCCGCTATGTATCACCGAAATGGATATTTTCCCCGGCACAAATGTTTTTTCCTCCTCTCTCCCAAGATTGCGCCTTGCATAATGTTTGATTGAAGTTTCCATTCTTGTCTGAATCTTTCATTTTCTATCAAAGGCCTTTTTTAAATGAAAACAAAACAAAACCTAGACAGTGTATATAGTTATACATATATATGATACACTATATAAATATATAAATATATATATATACATACATATTTAAAAAAAAGCAACAACTATTGCATGCCAGTTGGTGGTTATCATGCAAAAAAAAAAGACTTGTTAAATGTTTGATACTACTGTTTTCTTACTAATGTGACGGCTGCAGAAGACAGTCGTGGTCTGCATCCCCACAAATGATTTTTGTATTTCGGTACTATTATTATGTGTATCTTTTTTTTTTTGGTCAGATTTGTTTAATCTTTATAAATAGGACCTCAAATAAATTTTAAAAAGCAAATGTGTCAGACCTTTGACTTGGAAGGAGGAGAGTCCTCGGTGCTGTGTTTACTTTCTTACTTTATGATTATTACTGGCTTGGGGACCCGGCACTGCCCGGGTTATTTGAGAAAGGAATTGTGTATCAAGGTTGATCTTTATCAGTTATTTATATGGTTCACAGTGGTCTCAGGAAGTTAGTGAAGGTACTGCGACTCCCATCGTCTGTGGTCCATCCTTCTCCAAACTGCACCAGGATGGAGAGTGGGTCATGGGGGCTCTGTGTGCCAAGTTTGTTCTTAATCAGTCATTGGATGAGGGTCGTAGTGGTCTCAGAAAGTGAGTGAAGGTACTGCAAGTCCCGTCATCTGTGGTCTATCCTCCTCCATACTGCACCAGGATGTAGAGTGGGTCATGGGGGCTCTGTATGCCAAGTTTGGTTTTGATCTGTCATTCGATGAGGGTTGCAGTAGTCTCGGGAAGTGAGTGGAGGTACTTCAAGTCCCATCAACTGTGGTCTATCCTCCTCCAAACTGCACCAGGATGTTGAGTGGGTCATGGAGCCTCTGTGTGCCAAGTTTGGTCTTTATCAGTCTTTGTTGGGGGCCACAGTGGTCTGTGGGAACCGAAGGGTTTGAAAGGACTACAAATCCCATCATCCATTGTCCATCCTCCCCCAAACCTCACTGGCACATAAAGGGGGTCATGGGGGTTATGTTTCCCAAGTTTGGTCTTGATCAGTCATTGGATGAGGATCGCAGCAGTTTCGGCAAGCGAGTGGAGGTACTTCAAGTCCCATCATCCATGGTCCACCCACATCCAAACTGCAGTAGGACGTAGAGTGGATCATGGGTGTTCTGTGTACCAAGTTTGGTCTTTATCGGTCTTTGTTGGGGACCACAGTGGTCTGTGGGAACCGAAGGGTTTGTAAGTACTACAAATCCCATAACCTGTTGTCTGTCCACCCCCAAATCACACCAGGATGTAAAATGCATCATGGGGGTTATGTGTGCTAAGTTTGGCCCAGGTCCATCGCTCGTGCAAGTCTCTATGGCCTGTGAAAGTGAGAGCCAATCAGAAAGCTGCCACATACACTTCCGCCCTTCCACCCTCCGCATACATACATACAAACAAACATTCACTTTTATTATATAGATAGATTATTTTTCTCCTTCTCTTTACCTCTCATACCAATTGGTGGCCCTGCTTCCTAAGAGAGGGAAGAACAGTGCTATTCTATCCCTTTCCACCTTTGAAGTGAAACTAATATTTCGGTTGCTGTGAGTGGGAGAAAAAAGCTCATAAATTTGAGGCAAGTGGGAATGTTGCATTTGGTCACCGATTAGCATTTAATGGCCTTGCAGCTTCAAAGCCTGGCTGCTTCCTGCTTGGGGAAATCCTTGATTGGGAGGAGTTAGCTGGCCCTGTTTGTTTAGTGTTTATTTCTTTAATTAATTAATTTACGACATTTATATGCCGCCCTTCTCACCCCGAAGGGGACTCGGAGTGGCTTACAAGATATATATATACATCTATATATATAAAATGCTTAAGGGCGTCCTTAGGCGTTCAAAAACGGAGAAACCACAGGACGAAATCTCACCAAATTTGGCCTGCTAATACCTCTTCCTCCAAGGTATGACCAACAACCCTCCAAACACCAATACGCAACAACACAAACTCACAATACCCTAAAAACACGGAGCATGTGCAGAGGCCTCGGGAGGAATACGATGAGGAGGAAGGACTCCATTTCCCAGCTTCCCCCGCGCCCAAGTCGCCCTCCGCATGTGCACTGCCGCCTGTGTGCCTCCCTCTACTCAGTCCCGCCGCTACCTCACATACACAGACGGAAAAAGACCAGGAGAGATTGCGACCCCAGCCTGAGAAAGCCCACCAGGCCGATGTAAGCACTAACGGCCGGGGAGGGCATGGAAGCTGCGGGGGGGGGGCGCCGAAGGCAACAAAAACAACACGAGACAGGAGGCCCGCCGTCTTCTCCTAAGCCGGGGCCTCGATTTCTCCCGCGGCCCAACGCCCCTCTTGCCTTCGGCGGCCTCCAAACCTGCCCAGTGGGAGGTGGGTCTCTCCCAACTGGTTCTCCTGCCCGCTGCTTTTTCACTTTTATAACAATGTACTCCTCATTTCTGGGATTTATGCATTTGAACCACACTTGGCACACTGAACTCCCATGACCAACAGACAATACTGGAAGGGTTTGGTGGGCATTGACCTTTCGTTTCGGAATTGTAGTACACCTACATCCAGAGAGCACTGTGGACCCCAGCAATGATGGATCTGGATCACACTTGGAACGAATATGAAAACAGATGGACTTTGGGGAAATACACCTTAACATTTGGGAGTTGTAGTCCCTGCAATTCACTGTTCACCTACAATCAAAGAGCATTCTGAACCCTACAAACGACATAATGGGGGCAAACTTTCCACACAGAACCCTCATGACCAACAGAAAAAAACTTTAGCCCATCCACTACAACTCCCTTCACCAGGGCAAGATAACGCAATCACACTCCTCCTGACAAAGAGCCATCCACCCATACATATGCATAGATGCATCTATCTATATATAAATGCTCTGTGCATAAGAAGTACCTTAAAAACAAAAGAACCAATGCACGAAATCACACCAAATTTCGCAACAAAACGTCTCACAACACAAGGAGTGACCCTCACGCAAAAAATTATGATTTTGTCATTTGGGAGTTGTAGCTGCTGGGATTTATAGTTCACCTACAATCAAAGAGCATTCTGAACCCCACGAACGACAGAATTGGGGCAAACTTCCCACACAGAACCCCTATGACCAACAGAAAATACTTAAGGACATCCAGTCCAACTCCCTTCACAGGGCAAGAAAACGTAATCAAAGCCCTCCTGACAAAGAGCCAACCAGCCATAGATCCAACAATAGATATAGATAGATATGATTCACACACATAAGTTATTAAATGATGATGATGATGATGATGATGATGATATGTTGCATGTTCCAGAGTAGGCAAACCAATCTCCACATCAACAAAGAAACAGCAAGAAATACTGTTTACCCACAAGCATAAAGAAATTACATATATTAGAAACCCACACTTTCTCATTACTTTATTTTCCAGATCACCAGACTGGACCCACACTTTCCACTGAAATACTAATCTATATATATAAAAATGCTCTGTGCGTAATGAGTACCTTAAAAACAAAAGAACCAATGAACGAAACCACACCAAATTTGGCAACAAAACGTCTCACAACACAAGGAGTGACCATCACTCAAAAAATTATGATTTTGTCATTTGGGAGTTGTAGTTGCTGGGATTTATAGTTCACCTACAATCAAAGAGCATTCTGAACTCCACCAATGATGGAATTGAACCAAACTTGGCACACAGAATTCCCAATACCAACAGAAAATATTGGAAGGGTTTGGTGGGCATTGACCTTGAGTTTTGGAGTTGTAGTTCACCTACATCGAGAGAGCACTGTGAACTCAGACAATGATGGATCTGGACCAAACCTGGCACAAGCGCGAGGCAGGCAAGGGTGGCTTTGCACGAGGCCTGGCCTTGTGCAAAGCCTTGAGGGACGGGGGCCAAAGCCTTGGGGGCAGGGCCAAAGGAGGTGGCCTCGCGACCCCTTTGAAATGGCCAAACGACCCCCTTGGGGGTCGTGACCCCCAAGTTGAGAACCGCTGATCTAGACTCTCCACCGATATACAGCTCCGTCAGCAATTCTGCAGCACAATCAGGGTTTGGGATGATGACACAGAATACTGACAATCCCTTTGTTTATACACACACACACATACAGAGAGCCCTCTTTGCAGCCACAATTTAAGTCCCTAAAATCCAAGCTGGCATAAATTCCCACTCAATTTAATGGGATGGTTGGCACATATTGCGACCGTAAGCAACTCTTGGCTTTAATCTAGATTTTGGGGCAAAGACCTGGCTTTAAGGCAGCTTAACGGCATCTTAGCGCTGCAATCTGCTTTGGATTCTCCCAATAAAAGTTGGCACAATGAAGCCCTAACATTTCCCAGTATGTGGGTTTCAAACGAGTGGATCAACGGGACCCCCGGCCCTTTTGACGGGCCGCAGTGGCCGTTCCTGGCCCCGAGGGGAACCTACACCTCGGTGGCCGTCCTCATGGGCCTCGTGATGGTCTCAGCAGCGGTGGTCAACGGCTTGGTCATTTTAGTCTCCGTCCAGTACAAGAGGCTCCGTTCTCCCCTGAACTACATCCTGGTGAACCTGGCCGTCGCCGACCTCCTCGTCACCTTCTTTGGCAGCACCATCAGCTTTGCCAACAATATCTATGGCTTTTTCGTGTTTGGCCCAACGGCGTGCGAGTTTGAAGGATTCATGGTCTCCCTGACAGGTAAAAAAGACTTTGGCTTTTCTCCCTAGACTAGACTAAAAATAATGATGATGGTATTTGCCTTTACTCAAAGCTCAAGGTGGAGTAATTACTGGGTAGGAATAGTCTGGCCAGTGGTGGTCAGTGGCTCCTGGGCTGGGATTTATCCTTTCAAGGGATCGAATCATAGAATCCTAGAATGTCTTGAGTAATAATAATAATAATAATCGTAATAATAATAATAATAATAATAATAATACTTTATTTATACCCCACCACCACCTTCCCAAGGGACTCGGAGCGGCTTACATGAGGCCAAGCCCAAGAGTACATCAATAAACAAAAGTAATAAATAAAAACAATAAATACAATAAAATTAATATAAATCACATATAAACAATAACTAAAAAACAGTAACATACAAGAGTTGGAGAAAGGAATCTTGTCTCTTTGAGATAAGTGTGAATGTTGCAGTTGGCCAACTTGATTAGCATTGAATGGCCGTGCAGCTTCAAAGCCTGGCTGGCTGCTGCCCGGGGATCCTTTGTTGGGAAGTGTTAGCGCGCCCTAAAATAGTTAGAACTCTTGATGTCTGTGATTGCAGGGATTGTGGGCCTTTGGTCTTTGGCGATCCTAGCGTTTGAGAGATACCTTGTGATCTGCAAACCGGTGGGAGATTTCCGTTTCCAGCAACGCCACGCCGTGATTGGCTGCGCTTTCACATGGCTGTGGTCACTGCTATGGACACTTCCTCCCCTCTTTGGTTGGAGCAGCTACATCCCAGAAGGTAAATGCTTTTGACGACTGAACATACATCCCCATCTCATGTCCATCCCAACTAGAGTTCTGTCCTCATGACACACTTTCCCTTGGCTTTAATGAAGGCCCAATCCCATGGTTCGCCCTGAGTCCCCTTTGGGTATAAATAAAGATTGATGATGATGATGATTATCATTTGAAACACAACAAGATGAGTCCACAGCAGACACTCTGCTGACTGTTGTGTTGGATCACACGTTGGACACTTCCCAAGTGTCTAGGACTGTGTGATGTATCGGCGAATAATGCGTGCAGATCCCAGTAAGGTGGCCTTCTGCAACTGGCAGATGGTAATCTTGTCAGCACCTATTGTGTTTAAGTGCAGGCCAAGGTTTTTAGGCACTGCACCTAGTGTGCCGATCATCACTGGGACGACCTTGACTGGCTTGTGCCAGAGTCTTTGCCATTATTATTATTGTTGTTGTTGTTGTTGTTGTTGTTGCCTTTCTGGCTCAATTATTATAGCAATTTCTTTATTGTTCTATTTGTTTTTTATTTCGGTGTTCGTAAGCTGCCCTTCCTTCAATCTTCTCAAGGAACTGCCCATGCAAGGCTTTGTTGTGACAGCTGTCAGCTCTGGTTTGGAGTGCAGTTTTCTTGTACTGACTCTTTGTCTGCTGTGCTTTGAGAAGTTTCCGATTACTGACTTCAGTTAAAGCAGGTTCTTGGCTTTCCTTGACATATTCTGCCAGGGTGTGTTTTTCTTCTTCAACTGCTTGTTTGACTTGTAAAAGTCCTCTGCCACCAGACTTTCTAGGCAGATAGAGCTGGTCAACATCACTGCGAGGATGTAATGAATTATGAATGTAGTGAATTATGAATTATTATTATTATTATTATTATTATTATTATTATTATTTGAAACACAACAAGCTGAGTCCACAGCAGACACTCTGCTGGCTGCTGTATTGGATCACACATCGGACCCTTCCCAAGTGTCTAGGACTGTGTAATGTATTGGCGGATAATACGTGCAGATCCCAGTAAGGTGGCCTTTTGCAGCTGTAAATGGTAATTTTGTCAGCACCAATTGTGTTTAAGTGCAAGCCAAGGTCTTGAGGCACTGCACCCAGTGTGCCAATCATCACTGGGACCACCTTGACTGGCTTGTGCCAGAGTCTTTGCAGTTCGATCTTTAAATCCTCATATTGTGTCATCTTTTCCAGTTGTTTTTAACATGATTGTGAGGTCAGGATTATTTTGCTCTGTCTGAATTTGGAAATCCCAGAAGAGTTTGACGTGTTCATTTTCTGTAACTATTATTATTATTATTATTATTATTATTATTATTATTATTATTATTATTATTATGAGGGACTATCAAAATCCATGACATGCCAGGCTGGCTAACAATCAGGAAATAATTATTAAGGAGTTTGCATCCTACCTACAAGGCCAAGAGAATCTACTGATTTCAATTAATCTAGTCAAATATTTCCTTGCAGATTTAACATACTATTATTTACTTACTTACTTACTATATTTATATACCGCTCTTCTCAGCCCTTGGGCGACTCAGAGCGGTTAACAACAGCAAAATTCAATGCTCAAAAACATCATAAAACTATTTAAAAAATTAAAACAGTAACATACAGTTAATATAAATCAATAAAACATCTCATTCGCGACTCATAGTTAAGATCGAAATCCAGTCCCATCATCCAAATTGTTCCATATTCCTATATTCGTTACACTGCCTATTCAAATGTCTGTTCAAACAACCAGGTCTTCACTTTCCTCTGAAATGTCAACAGAGAGGGGGCTGATCTAATATCTGTAGGAAGGGCGTTCCACAGCCGAGGGGCCACCACTGAGAAGGCCCTGTCTCTCGTCCCCGCCAAACGTACTTGTGACAAAGGCAGGACCAAGAGCAGGGCCTGCCCAGACGATCTTAACACCCTAGCTGGTTCATAGGAGGAGATGCATTCTGACAGGTAAATTGTGCCAGAACCGTTTAGGGCTTTATAGGCTAAAGCCAGCACTTTGAATTGTGCCCGGTAGCAAACCGGCAGCCAGTGGATCTGGCACAACAGAGGAGTTGTATACTCCCTGACCTCCGCTCCCGTTAATAACCTGGCTGTTGACCATTGGACCATTTGAAGCTTCCGGACAGTCTTCAAAGGCAACCCCACGTAGAGAGCGTTACAGTAGTCTATACGGGATGTAACCAGAGCATGGACCACCGTGGGCAAGTCAGACTTCTCAAGGTACGGGCGCAGCTGGCGCACAAGTTTTAACTACTACCCAGATTCCTAAATTACAAGGTGCATACTTCCAAATACAGGATAAGACAGATATTGCATATTGTTCATCCAATATAAAAGTAAAAACATTCTAACCCTCAAATAGGAAATATCCTTACTTGCCAGCCCGAGAAAGGACATGTTTCTGGGATTTTAAAAAGAGAGAGAGATCTGACAAACTTAGGGCGAATTGAATTTGAGATCAGAAAGATGAGGACAAAACTTATAACAGATAGAAATATGATGCTGGATTAAGTCGTAATTATAATTGTTTAAATATATTTGAAAGGCAGCACACTAAGGAAAGCTACTCTGCATCTGATTTTTCTGGCCCATCTGGACAATGTTTGAATTCTAGGCTTGAGGACGTCCTGCGGGCCCAACTGGTACACTGGCGGCAGTGACAACAACAGCTACATCATGACTTTGTTTGTGACCTGCTTCGTTACACCGCTAGCCATGATCGTCTTCTCCTATGCCAACCTGCTCTTGACCCTGCGAGCCGTGAGTACAAAAGCTGGAATTGAACCAAATGTGGCACACAGGACTCGCATGACCAACAGAAAACACTAGAAGGGTTTGGTGGGCATTGACCTTTAGTTTGGGAGTTGTAGTTCACCTACATCCATCTGTGGATTCAAACAATGATGGATCTGGACCAAACTTGGCACCAATACTCAATATGCCCAAATATGAACACAGATGGAGTTTGGGGGAAATGGACATTGACATTTGGAAACTGTAGTTACTGGGATTTATAGTTCACCTACAATCAAAGAGCATGCAGAACACTAAAATGACAGAATCGGGCCAAACTTCCCACAAAGAACCCCCATGACCAACAGAAAATACTTAAGGCCATCCAGTCCAACTCCCTTCACCAGGGCAAGAAAACGTAATCAAAACCCTCCTGACAAAGAGTCATCCAGCCATAGATAGATAGTCATCCAGCCACTATAGTTTCTCAGTGGCTGCTGTGAAGCTGACTTTAGAAATACTTTGACCACCAAGGTACACACATTGAGGCTGGTATAAGTTAATAAAAGAACAAGAATGTTTATTGAATAAGCTTGAAATAATTCAGGTACAAATGCTTATTGCTTTCAGAAAATACTGGCATTAAAAGCTTGTGGAGTAAAACCTTAAACTCTTCTGGGTTACAAGTCTTCAAAGTTCAATCACAGAAAATTACTTCAGGAAAATAATATCTGAAAGTAACTCCCCAAAACTGCCCCTCAGGAATCTAGCCAAAAATACCCTGAACTAGACTTCCCTAGGAATTAAACAGTCCACTAACTGGGCCCTGGATCCACTATTCTAGCTATCTGCTAATAGCTACTCTGAATACCTCACAAGACTAACTCTCTAAACCCAAACTTGCTCTGAACTAACACCAACTCTTCCACTCTCTCTAACACCCAACTCGGAACTCCAACTCCAACTGACTAACTGGGACTTCAAGCCTCTGTTTTAAAAGGACACTTTCCCCCTCTAGACCAGTGTTTCTCAATCTTCTTAATGTTGCGACCCCTTAATACAGATCCTCATGTTGTGGTGACCCCCGACCATAATATTATTTTCGTTGCTATTTCATAACTGTGATTTTGCTACTGTTATGAATCGTCATGTAAATATGATATGCAGGATATATTTTCATTCACTGGACCAAATTTGGCACAAATATCAATACATACAAATTTGAATACTGGTGGGGTTGGGGGTGTGGGGGTGTGATTGTTATTGTCATTTGGGAGTTGTTGTTCCTGGGATTAACAGTTCACCTGAAGTCGAGCATGCCCCCCCCCCCAACAAGGGATGGTGACTTATAGTTCTGCAAAGGACAAAGGTACCAGACTGCACAATAGGGGTTAAGTCTTGGTCAATTTGCCAAGGCCTTAACAACAATGAGGACTCCATGAAACTTCGGGAATAGCTAGACCTTGGGGTCTCTGCCTCTCTCGGGAGCTGTAGTTCTCCAAGGACGGGGAGCAAAGCTTGTTTCCAGAGACACCAGGTCCATTTGGGCCACTCAAGAACTACTGCCAGGACCCTTGCGTTTTAGCCACCCCCTATGGACACTCTTTCCCCCCACATGGACAAACCTTATGAAATCTTGCCTTTTATGAACTTTAGATATATGAAATGTGTTTTCTGATTTCTTTGTGTGGCAGAAGCCTTTCCCCTTTTCCTCTGCCCTTTGTTTCTCCTATATACACGAAGAAACTTCACCAAAGGGACTACAAAGCCCCAAACATTCCAGGATTTTTTTTTATCCACAACTTCCTTTTGCACGAACAATAGCCTGGGCAGCTGGTGGCCCTCGGAGGAATTGCCCAGCCCTCAATTTGCCCATTTGGCAAAAAATCTTAATCATATTTCCTCCTGATGGACAAAAGGTCTTCAAAAAAACCTTTTGCCTTCGCTCTGATTAACTCAGCTATCTCCACCAAGAAACAATCACCCCAGTCTACACATGTAGATTCATTCCACTCAAAGCACAATAGATCAGGCTGGCTTGAGATTTCCCCTTTGTCTCGCCGGCCACATGGCATTATTTTTTTCACATTCATTCATAGATTCCTTTGTGTCCTTTCATCCCGCATCCCTCTTTTCTGATTTGCTATCGCTGCTAGATGGCAGAAGCCTCCCTATTGGACCCTGCGGACTGCTGGAGCTTCCTGATTGGTCCGGAGGCGCCGTGGGCGGGAGGGCCACCTCCCAGCTGTTTGCCCATTGTCCAATCGCAGTGGAGGGCAGCAGGGAGGCTGGGGCGGGAAGTTTGAACTCTGCAACTTTGAAAACTCTATATAAATGGCTGTATCAAATATATTTCTTTATGCTTGCATGTGAATGATCACTGCAATTGCATCCGCTTCAGCTGAATCGCTCATTAAACCTTGATGCCTCTTCTTCGCCTTGGCAAGAGTCTCATTTCAATTATTAATATTAATAAAATTGCTGGAATCAGGCTTCTCTGACGGCTCGCCAAGGTCATGGGCCCTGTTTGGAGCAGTCCTAGGGGCCTCTCTTACTGGGGAGACCCTCCTAATGTCCGTATTGACTTCACACCTACAATCAAAGAGCATTCTGAACTCCACCAATGATGGAATTGAACCAAACTTGGAACACAGATCTCTCATGACCAACGGAAAATACTGGAAAGTTTTGGTGGGCATTGACCTTGAGTTTTGGAGTTGTAGTTCACCTACTTCCAGACAGCATTGTGGACTCAAACAATGAAGGATCTAGACTAAACTTGACACAAATACTCCAGATGCTCAAATACGGCGCTCTCATCCTCTTGTAGGTGGCCGCTCAGCAAAAAGAGCTGGAGACAACGCAGCGGGCAGAGAGAGAAGTCACGCGGATGGTGATCACCATGGTCATGGCGTTCCTGGTTTGCTGGCTACCTTACGCCAGCTTTGCGATGGTGGTGGCCACCAACAAGGACCTGTTCATCCAGCCGGCCCTGGCTTCTCTACCGTCGTACTTCTCCAAGACGGCCACTGTGTACAACCCCATCATTTATGTCTTCATGAACAAACAGGTGAGCAGGTTGGAGGAGCATAAGGGAACTGTTTAACCCAGGCACGGGCAAACTTCGGACCTACAGGTATTTTGGACTTCAACTCCCATACTTCCTAACAGATTCCCAGACAATGGAGGAAAACTAAGATAATTGCCATTTTAAAATCTGGTAAAGACTCCTCCAGTGCCAGGAACTACCAGCCTATCTCACTCCTGTGTCATCTATATAAAGTACTAGCTGTACCCTAGCCACATTTCTGCGGCTCTCAGAAAACAGCGGTATTCCAGACATGAAACAATCTGGGCTAGGGAACACCTCCCCACAAAGGTTTCTCACAGGCAGGAAGAAGCCAGGCTTTTAAGCTGCAAGGCTTTTCAATGGTAATCAAGGTGGGCAACTGCAACATTTATTATTATTATTATTAACTTTATTTATACCCCGCAAAATCTCCCGAAGGACTCGATGCAGCTTACAATGGCCAAGGCCGCCAACAAACAACAACATACAAATATAACAGTGAAACTCATAAGCAAATAAATAAAACATCAAGCAAAACAATAAAACACTAAAAATTAATGACACCATGACGCATTTAAAAACCTAAATTTACACCTGGCTCAAGTTGAAAAGAGTTCTTATTCCCACCCTGGACCTTTCACATTATCTTTAAAGAGAAGGGCAAAGATGTTATGTTGCTGCGAGCTTTTCGGGCTGTATGGCCATGTTCCAGTAGCATTCTCTCCTGATGTTTCGCCTACATCTGTGGCAAGCATCCTCAGAGGTTTATTCAGAGGTCTGCTGGAAATGAGGGAAGTGGAGTATACCTATCTATCTATCTATCTATCTATCTATCTATCTATCTATCTATCTGTGAATAATGTCCAGGTTGGGAGTGGAAGTGCTCATGAGGGGAAGCATCCGTTCTTAGCTATTCAGGGCCTTTTAGTCTGCGTTTAAAGAGCATGTTGGTTATGTTTTGGTTTTATTTTGCTGTAATATGTTGTCCGGGCTTGGCCCCATGTAAGCCGCTCTGAGTCCCATTGGGGAGATGGTGGCGGGGTATAAATAAAGATTATTATTGTCATACCTGCCAGTGGCTTTTATGTTTCTTTTCCTCTCCTTCCCTAACAGTTTGGCACCACTTTAATAGCCACAGCTCAATGCTACTGAAGCCTGGGGTGCCCTTGGCAGTTTTTTTCTCGCGCGTAGGAGGGGGCGGAGCTTAAGGAGTATTGGTAGCACGTGCTTTGTATTGTGTTTTATCTATTTTAGGTCCTTGTCGCTTTGTGTTTATGTTTTGTTGTTAGTGATGGTCACTCCTTGTGTTGTGAGACGTTTTGTTGCCAAATTTGGTGTGATTTCGTTCATTGGTTCTTTTGTTTTTAACGTACTCGTTACACACAGAGCATCTATATGTTCGTTTGTGCTATTCACAGAACTCGGAAACCACTGGAGCAATTGACACCAAATTTGGACACTATGTCCCTAACAACCCAATGTATGTTCTCCACTCAAAAAAAATCAATGAAAACCAAAAGCAGAAAGGACTTCCAAACTGCATGTCCACAAAGAAGAAACTGCATGTCTACAGAGACTCTACAGAGACCCATGGCCACACCCCCTCCTCCTCGTGGGGAAACAGCTGGCTGGCACATGTGCACGACCACACACACACACACACACACAAGCGAGTGGAGTGGAGGAAGTGGAGGCAGTCTCCTCCTTTCCCTGTTGGAAGAGGATGCTCTTCCATGCAAAGCAGGTGAACATTGAATGAAACATACAGAATAATCACAGGATGTCTTAAACCTACACCTGTTGATAAACTACAAGCTAGCTGGAATTGCCCTCTTGATGTGCAACAAGAAGTTGCTGCTAAATGTGAGAGAAATAAGGCTGAACCCTGTGAAAGCCACCCACTGCATGGCTACCTGCCTCCTCCCAGTAGACTCAAATCAAGGAAAAGCTTTATGAGAACCACCACTCCTCTTGGCGTCCCCCCAACAACAGCAAGCGTATCCCTCTGGGCACCTCAACCAGGAAACCCCACCTGGAAGGCCCCCCACAAGAGAGTTTCTTCCTCCAGGGGCAAACCAAGAATGGGCAACTTGGAAGTCCCTGAACAGACTCAGAAGTGGAGTGGGCAGATCAAAAGACAACCTGGCAAAATGGCACGACCTAAAAGAATCTCACACCTTGTGTGACTGTGGAGCAGAACAGACAACTCTGCATCTGTATGCTTGTCCACTATGCCCTGCCTCATGTACAGAGGAAGAATTGTTGGAAGCTACAGACAATGCCGTTGCTGTTGCGCGTTTTTGGTCAGAAGATATTTAGCCACTTGCAGTCCTTCTATTTTTATCAGTTTTATACCAATTTATGCAATGCTTTTGATACGAAATAAATAAATAAACTTCCTAACAACTGGTAGGCTGTTAGGAATTGTGGGAGTTGAAACCCAAAACATTTGGAGGGCTGATGTTTGTCCACGCCTGGGTTAACCAGATCAACAAAAGTCATAAGGGTATGCAAGAATTACGTTTCAGCACACTATTAGGCAAAAATACACCCAAACTGTCCCATTTCTTTCATATCTGGGATGTAAAGAACTTTAGACTATTTTTAATCAAACTGACATGAACAGATTCCTCCATCCGACTCAATTAAACGTTTGAGCGCTTTAGATCTTGAATATTTGGCTTTGAATCTACATATTCAGTAGTGTTAGTGCTGAATTAGTTATCCATTCAAGCTTCTCATCTTAACACCCAGAGAAAAGGCAGGCAAGGCAACATCTTTCCCAGGCTGGGAGCAGCCTTTTCCATTCAATTTGGCCAATGGAGGGTCGTTGTAGGTCAGGGACAAGCAATTTGAGGGGCATGGACTGCCTTTTGTGGCCCCCAAAGCTCCTCACACCCTGGACATTCCACAGATATATAAACCCCACTTGCCTAGTCTCCAACAAACCTCACAACTTCTGAGGATGCCTGCCATATATCTGAGCAAAATGTCAGGAGAGAATGCTTCTGGAATGCAATGTAGCTCGGAAAAATCACAGCAACCCAGTGACTCTGGCCATGAAAGCCTTCGACAACACACTTGCACTCCATTTTTGCAAGCATCCTAGAATCTACCACATGAAACCGAAAAAGGAAAGAGGATGTGAAGTCAGACTATTTGTTGCTGCAGTTTTTGAGAGGGACTGCAGAAGAAAAAGGCTTTTTTTCTGCAGTGGAAACACAGTTTTGTTCTACGGTCCTTCACAAAATGATGTGAAATTCATGGGGTCACAATATTTATTTATTACTAGCTGTACCCTTTCCCCTCTTTCTCTCCTTCTTTCCCTTCCTTCCTTCCTTCCTTCCTTCCCCCCTCCCCTCCCTCCTCCCCCCTCCTCCCTCCCTCCCTCCTACCTTCCTTCCTTCCTTCCTTCCTTCCTTCCCTTCCTTCTTCCTTCCTTCCTTCCTTTTTCCTTCTTCTTCCTTCCTTCTCTATCTCTTTCCTTCCCCCTTTTTCTTTCTCTTCTTCTGTCTCTCTTTTCTTCCTTCTTTTCTTCTTTCCTTCCCTCCTCTTTCTCTACATCTTCTCCCTTCCTTCCTCTCTCTTCCTTCCTTCTTTCTTTTTCTTTCCTTCTCTCCTCCTTCCTTCTCCTTTCCCCTTTTTCTTTCTCCCTCTTTTCCTTCTTCCTTCTCTCCTCCTTCCTCTTCCTTCTTCCTTTCCTTCCTTCCTTCCTCCTTCCTTCCTTCCTTCCTTCCTTCTTCTTCCTCTCTCTTTCTTCTCTTCCTTCTCCTTTCCTTCTTCTTTCCCTCCCTCCTCTTTCTTTTTTCTTTCTTTCTTTCTTCTTTCTTTCTTTCTTTCTTTCTTTCTTCTTTCCTCTTTCTTTCTTTCTTTCTTTCTCCCCTCCCTCCCTCTTTCTTCCCTTTTTTCTGTACTGTCATTTAGCTTTTTTTAAAGTCCCTTCTGCTGTGTTTTTCAGTGTTTTTATGAGTGAAGGACATACATTGGGTTGTTGGGTGTCTTGTGTCCAAATTTGGTATCAATTCCCCCAGTGGTTTTTGAGTTCTGTTGATCCCACAAACGAACATTACATTTTTATTTATACAGATTTATTTACAGTATTTATATTCCACCCTTCTCATCCCGCAGGGTCTCAGGGCAGATTACAATTTACATATACATGGCAAACATTCAATGCCATAGACACACAACATATATAGACAGACACACAGAAGCTATTTAACATTCCAGCTTTTTCATGAGCGTATTCTGGCCACCAGGGGAGCTGTTGCTTCACCGTCCATATCTGACACTGATGAAGTACTTCCTCATTCTTTGCATGCTTGCTGAAGATTTTTATGGCAACATAAATTAGTTAAATTAGCCTCCCCGCATTTCCTACTTGACAGATGCAACTGTCTTTCGGGTTGCAAAGGTTGACAGCAAGCTACACAATTTGGTCGGAAATTCACTCCGACCCGGGCTGGCTTCGAACTCATGACCTTTTGATCAGTAGTGATCTTAATGCAGCTGACTCCCAGCCAGCTGTGCCAGTCCCGTTGACTTACGTGAAAACACAGACACATTCAACTGACAACCATTCCTTTTTGTGAACTGAAGTCAAATTTGACCTAGAACCATTTTTTTCCTGATCTTTCCTCAACCAAGTTTCGCAGCTGCCTCCTGTCCACCATGAGCTGCGGCCGCCGACCGGTAGCTGCGCAAGGGACGACGCCAGCCATGATCAGCAGCCCCCGAGGCCTGACGTCAGCTTTGGAGGGGAGTAGGAATAAAGTGGTGCCGTCTGCTTCAGAAGGAAGTGGAAACGATGTAGGGACTTCGTAACAACATGGATAACTGAAACTCTGACCGTCTGGGGGAAAAAAAATCCTGGTTTGCATTATCATTTGTGGGGTTATCCTGTTCCAGAATGTAGAGATTTGTATGTCCCAATTGGACAGGGACAGTCCTAGTTAATTCTCTGTCCATTTTTCCAGCTGTTTTCAAAATGCCTTGCTTTCTTATTCTTCTCCATGCACTTTATTCATTTGTGCTTAGCTTCCTTCCATTGAGTTCAAACTTCATAATAGGTTGCATCCAATTTGCTCAGCAGGAGTGAAGATGGGATTTTAAATGTAATTCCTGGCTTGTTTCTTCTTCTAGATCAGTGGTTCTCAACCTTCCTAAAGCCATGACCCCTTAATACAGTTCCTCATGTCGTGGTGACCCCCAACCATAAAATTATTTTAGCTGTTACTGTTGAGATTAACTTCACAATTCAGCAGCAGATTAGTTGCACAACTTCAGCACTTTCCAGTAGCTTCTTCCTGCACAGTATTTTCAGTCAACTGCTCCCACAACCTGCAGTCACTCTGGAACCTTTTACAGACACTTGAGCACATGCCCGGCCATTGTCAGTTTTACCATTGTCTTTCCCCCAGTCTAGATGATATTACAGACTTACCACAGCACACAGTTATATCTTGTCTTAGCAGACAGGTTCTTTTAATTACATATAGCCTTCGACAGAACAACATCACAGCACAAGGAGAGATATACACTGTACATGACTTCCTTATATACAATTCATTTACACATAGCAATCACCGATTGGTTCCCAACTCATTGACTCAACTCAAACTCAGGATTGCATCATTCATAATCACCTGGACTAGGCCAGAACACATTCCCCAAATGAAGCTCTATATACAGTTAATGCATGACTCAGCATTCCCAATAGAAGCCCATTAGCAGTGCATGACTCAGCTATATTACATTACAATACATTGTAAAACCTGACAGTTACTTCATAACTGGAATTTTGCTACAGTAATGAGCCATAATGTAAATATCCAATATGCAAAGTGTATTTTCATAGAACCATAGAATCAAAGAGTTGGAAGAGACCTCATGGGCCATCCAGTCCAACCCCCTGTCAAGAAGCAGGAATATTGCATTCAAATCACCCCTGACAGATGGCCATCCAGCCTCTGTTTAAAAGCTTCCAAAGAAGGAGCCTCCACCACACTCCGGGGCAGAGAGTTCCACTGCTGAACGGCTCTCACAGTCAGGAAGTTTTTCCTCATGTTCAGATGGAATCTCCTCTCTTGTAGTTTGAAGCCATTGTTCCGCGTCCTAGTCTCCAAGGAAGCAGAAAACAAGCTTGCTCCCTCCTCCCTGTGGCTTCCTCTCACATATTTATACATGGCTATCATATCTCCTCTCAGCCTTCTCTTCTTCAGGCTAAACATGCCCAGCTCCATTAAGCCGCTCCTCATAGGGCTTGTTCTCCAGACCCTTGATCATTTTAGTCGCCCTCCTCTGGACACATTCCAGCTTGTCAATATCTCTTGAATTGTGGTGCCCAGAATTGGACACAATATTCCAGGTGTGGTCTAACCAAAGCAGAATAGAGGGGTAGCATGACTTCCCTAGATCTAGACACTATGCTCCTATTGATGCAGGCCAAAATCCCATTGGCTTTTTTTGCCACCACATCACATTGTTGGCTCATGTTTAACTTGTTGTCCACAAGGACTCCAAGATCTTTTTCACACGTACTGCTCTCAAGCCAAGCGTCCCCCATTCTGTATCTTTGCATTTCGTTTTTTCTGCCTAAGTGGAGTATCTTGCATTTGTCACTGTTGAACTTCATTTTGTTAGTTTTGGCCCATCTCTCTAATCTGTCAAGATCGTTTTGAATTCTGCTCCTGTCCTCTGGAGTATTGGCTATCCCTCCCAATTTGGTGTCGTCTGCAAACTTGATGATCATGCCTTCTAACCCTTTATCTAAGTCATTAATAAAGATGTTGAACTGGACCGGGCCCAGTCCTGCTGATGGCACTCCACTTGTCACTTCTTTCCAGGATGAAGAGGAAGTGTAGTGTCTCTCCTGGTATGTGTTCTTCTTCATTAAACTTTTAATCTTTGCAACTTGCCCTAACCACTGTGATTTGATATTATTCGGTGTGTTCATTTATATTGTTTTGTATTTTATTTTTTACTTCCATTCTATTTTACTGTATGTATTTATGTTGTGTATTTGCTTTGCTGTTGGGCTTGGCCTCATGTAAGCCGTCCCGAGTCCCCTTGGGGAAATGGTGGCAGAGTTTAAATAAAGATGATGATGATGATGATGATTAAAGACTTTTGTCACCTTGACCGTCCTCTAGTGTTGCCTAGCTTTCTATCTGTGAAATGCTAGAGGGGAGGTGAAGTCAAGCTAGACTTTAGGAGGGTCTCCCCAGTAAGAGAGACCCCTAGGACCGCACCAAAGAGGGTCCGCGACCTTGGCGAGCCATCAGAGAAGCCTGATTCCAGCAATTTTATTAATATTAAAAATTGAAATGAGACTCTTGCCAAGGCAAAGAAGTGGCACCGAGGTTTAATGAGCGATTCAGCTGGATCGGATGCAATTGCAGTGATCATTCACATGCAAGCATACCAGTACAGAGATCAGAGGCATTTTTATAGGAATTTCCAGGTTTGAAAGTTCCAAAACTCCCGCCCTCTGCCCTCCGCCCGGCTTGCAGGTGATTGGCTGATGGGATTCCAGCTGGGAGGAGGCGCAGCCGCCCTCCCTGCGTCAGGGCCAATCACAGAGCTCCTCCGCTGCACATGAGCCAATGGGAGAGCTTTCCCTACTTCAGCGCCTTGACAAATCAGGAGGAGAGAGGCGGGATAAAAACAGAAAATGAATCAATGGGTGCGATGCCCAGGCTATTGTCCTTGAGTGGAGTTGCGATGATCCTTGATTACTTTCATCCTGGCCTTCCTGCCACAATCAGATAAGGCACAAAAGGGGAGGCTGGGGAAATGTCCGGTTTTGAATGAAGTAAACAAAATTGGGAAGGCGGCCCCCTGAGGGGCGTCTCGCTCCTATTGTGAAATGGCCAAAAGTCTGCAGAAGGAGATCTCAGCCTGATGGCCTTAATCCAGGAGCCTCATAGAGTTTCCAGGTCTTATTGTCCTCGCCAGAGTTCTGGGATATGAGTTTCTTTTGTTGCCCCTGATTGCCCTTTCAACAGTTGGCCGCTTCCTGGATTGATTTACCCAAGGGGAGGAGGAAGGAGTGATAGGTTTGGGTGTCAGGGCAAGAATAAGGAAAATACATGAGGGAATACAGAAATCCACAGAAATTCATATCAAATATCTCCTTCCCCATCCCACCCTGCCAAAGAAATTTGATAAAGAAATTATTTTCAAGCAATATGAGTTCATGGTTCATTTTGAGGGAAGTTCATGAGCGAAAAAGATGACCTTGTGAGTCCAAAACATTAGGCAGAGCTCTTAAAGCCCAAAAGGACAAGTCTGTTGATTTCCCACTGAGCCATTGGGTTTATTTCTCGTGTCAGGGCAGCCAGTCAAATATATTACATTTCTAACAGAACAAAGCAAACAAACAGAGAAAATACAAAATTTGTGAGTTTGGTAGTTGATTAAATGTCCTTTGACCAGTATCTGGCCACTTGGAGTGCCTCTGGTGTTGCTGCAAGAAGGTCCTCCATTGTGCATGTGGCAGGGCTCAGGTTGCATTGCAGCAGGTGGTCAGTGGTTTGCTCTTCTCCGCACTCGCATGTCGTGGATTCCACTTTGTAGCCCCATTTCTGAAGGTTGGCTCTGCATCTCGTGGTGCCAGAGCACAGTCTGTTCAGCGCCTTCCAAGTCGCCCAGTCTTCTGTGTGCCCAGGGGGGAGTCTCTCATTTGGTATCAGCCATTGATTGAGGTTCTGGGTTTGAGCCTGCCACTTTTGGACTCTCGCTTGCTGAGGTGTTCCAGCGAGTGTCTCTGTAGATCTTAGAAAACTATTTCTTGATTTAAGTCGTTGACGTGCTGGCTGATACCCAAACAGGGGATGAGCTGGAGATGTCTCTGCCTTGGTCCTTTCACTATTGGCTGCTACTTCCGGGCGGATGTCAGGTGGTGCAATACCGGCTAGACAGTGTAATTTCTCCAGTGGTGTAGGGCGCAGACACCTCGTGATAATGCGGCATGTCTCATTAAGAGCCACATCCACTGTTTTAGTGTGGTGAGATGTGTTCCACACTGGGCATGCATACTAGCAGCGGAGTAGCACAGCGCAAGGGCAGATGTCTTCACTGTATCTGGTTGTGATCCCCAGGTTGTGCCAGTCAGCTTTCGTATGATATTGTTTCTGGCACCCACTTTTTGCTTGATATTCAGGCAGTGCTTCTTGTAGGTCAGAGCACAGTCCAGAGTGACTCCCAGGTATTTGGGTGTGCTGCAATGCTCCAGTGGGATTCCTTCCCAGGTGATCTTCAGAGCTCGGGATGCTTCTCTGTTCTTGAGATGAAAGGCACATGTCTGTGTTTTAGATGGGTTGGGGATCAGCTGGTTTTCCCTGTAATAGGCAGTAAGAGCAACTGAGCCATTGGGTGGAATTCTGCCACGCTGGGATCGAAGCTGGTCCTTGGGAAACTACAACTCTCATGAAGGGCAGAAGTCCCAAGATCCAGCCGTTCCCCAAAAGCCTCATGGGGTCCTTGCTGTTGTTAGTGCCTTGGCAATGTGACCAAGACTTAACCCCTACTGTGCAGTCTGGTGCCCTTGCCTTTGGCAGAACTGTAAGTCACTATCCCTTATTTGTGGGAGGGGGTGCTCGACTTCACAGACCAGAGGGATAATAAGCAAAAGGAGCTTTCAGGAGGTGAACCATCTTGCCTTGCAAAATCTGCTAAAGCTTTCTCCAGGTGTCCATCTGCCCTCTGGGGCCGTGTCCCTCCTCTTTCATCTTTCGAAAGCCAGGCGACCCGGGGCCAGGAGCCATGAACCCAATTTATGCAGCCTTGTCAAGTATTTGCATGTCCTCCAACTCCTCTCGGGAAGCTGGAGAGAGAGAGATAAAGTGTCAAATCTGAAGGCGGCTACCCACTTTAGAACTCATCTTATCTGCGCTGCTGACAAGGAACAGCAAGAAATCTAAAGCCAGCAGCCGCTGCTGCCGATACCTCCTCACCAAACCCCGATCTTGCATCTGAAAACACACACTTTCAATGTGCTGACCTCCATTTAAAAAAAAAAATTCTCAAAAGTTATTTTCCACTTTTGTTACCTGGAGCGGGAAAGAACTCTCGAGTGAAATGAAGAAGAAAAATGAAAATTAAGTATTCTGTTCAGAGCTGGAGGGCAATGAAAGAGCATGCCGAGATTAAACATCTTTCTTCAAACACAAAACAGACCGAAGGTGGGACCAAAACGGTATTTATGCCAAAGGTTCTCTACACAAAGACTGCCAATTTCTCCCGCCTTCCCTTACACTTCATTGAATGTTAATAGGACAGCAGACGTAAGGCCCTGAAATCCAAATATTTTAACACTCAAGCACTTTAGAAAAAACTATATGATGGAGTCCTTCCTTCAACAGAGAATGCTTTTTTAAAGGTGACCCTTGCAATGTATTGTCAAAGGCTTTCATGGCCGGAATCACTGGGTTGTTGTAGGTTTTTCAGGATATATGGCCATGTTCTAGAGGCATTCTCTCCTGACGTTTTGCCTGCATCTGTGGCAAGCATCCTCAGAGGTAGTGAGGTCAGTTAGAACTAGGAAAATGGGTTTATATATCTGTGGAATGACCAGGGTGGGACAAAGAACTCTTGTCTGCCGGAGCTAGGTGTGAATGTTTCAGTTGACCACCTTGATTAGCATTTGATGGCCTGGCAGTTGTTTGGTGTGGCTTGTTAGTGCCTGGGGCAATCTTTTGTTGAGAGGTGATTAGATGTCCCAGATTGGGTGGTTGTAGGTTTTTCCGGGCTATGTGGCCATGTTCTAGAGCAGTGTTTCTCAACCTTCCTACTGCCACGACCCCTTATTACAGTTCCTTATGTTGTGGTGACCGCCCAACCTTAACATTATTTATAATTGTCATTTTGCTACTTTTATATATCGTAATGTAAATACCTGAGATAAAGGATGAATTTTCATTCACTGGACCAATTTGGCACAAGTACCCAATACACCCAAGTTTGAATACTGGTGGGGTTGGGGGGGGGATTGGTTTTGTCATTTGGGAGTTTTACTTGCTGGGATTTATAGTTCACCTACAATCAAAGAGCATTCTGAACTCCACCAACGATGGAATTGAACCAGTCTTGGCACACCGAACTTCCATGACGAACAGAAAATTCTGGAAGGGTTTGGTGGGCATTGACCTTGAGTTCTGGAGTTGTAGTTCAACTACATCCAGAGAGCACTGTGGACTC